ATCTAAATGACCTCAAAATGCCGAAAAACAGCATGATTCAGTGAGTTTTTCTCACTTGATCGATTTCAATGAACCTACCAAGTTTCAGGTCAATCGGAGTTCGTCAAATTCATGACCACCAACCTGTAACCAAACTCGGAGAATAACCGTTTTAAGCAGTTTCAAGAATTAAAATAAATATGATATTGATTTCCATTCACCTTATAATTATACTATGAGCTCAAGGCATATATTATGTTCTTCCTATTTCTAGGATACACAATATGTCACGACCCAAAATCCACTAAGGGTCGTGGTGGCGCCGGATACTGATGTCAGGCAAGCCAACTAAAATACTTAATTAGATTCCGAATTTTAGCAATTTTGAAAGCCAAGATTTTCCTTTAAATTTCATAAGTAAAAAGAGAACTGCCTCAATTCAAATTAAATAATAAGCAATCAATACAAAATATTTCAAAACCATCCCAGAACCCGATATCACAAGTGCATGAGCATTTACTAAGACAGAAATAAAATACAACATCCGTCTGGAATACAGTGGACAGAAAGTAAATATATTATGCTGGAAAAGGGACTATACTAGCTGCGAGCCGCCTCGAACAATGCAACTCACCTAGTCCCAGAATCATCCGCGCTGCTACGCCTAATAGGCCACTAACAACACCTGAACCTGTGCAACAAAAATGCACAGAAGTGTAGTATGAGTACCAAAACAACGTGTACTCAATGAGTATCCCGCCTAATCTCGAAGAAGTAGAGACGAGATGGTCGACTTCGACACTTACTAAGGGTCCAATAATGTGACGTCAATAAAACATTAAATCGCGGATTTCTATAGACATGATTCTAATCCAATAGAAGGAAACAAGTAAGAAATTAATTTCTTCGATATGAAGTTTTCCCCAAAATTTCCTTTTCATTATTTATCCAATTATTATCAAGCCGTAAAGAGGCTATAACAACTTTAATAAGTTTCAAGGCAAGCAATACAAGCATGCACAAATAATCACCATGGGACGTACGACCCGATCCAACATAAAAGTAAACTGTGCACTGCCGAGGGTCGAACGGCTCGAACCATAGATGCATCTATTACTCCACTCGCGAACTATCCATGCGACGCGGTCAACATAAAATAAACAATCACCCTGCTTGCGAATCCTTCATCTACCTCTTAGACTCATAACCATGCATCTACAACTTTCTCAGGCATTCTTTTACATGACTATTAAACATCTTCACCAAATAAGTTTTGTTAAAGAATCTTGCCAAGTTATTTCTGATGCAATATTTGTCCAGTAGTGCTTTGTCGTAACCATCTAGTTTGGGATTAAACTCTTCAGGGATCCTGTTACTGAAACTATCCCAAGAGTGTACACCGAACTATGATTTTCTTTAGCATTCTCCCACTACGACGAAGTACTACTAATATTACCTTCATTACCTTAGGAATTGAAATATTAGTGACTTCTTACTATAGTGTTCACTGTTCAAAATCACTCCACTCGATAAAGGCATATTATGTCTATTAACGTTTCTCCCACTACTCAAATGCAATGGAACGTCAATTCCGACTTGTGGTTTTGATGTTCTTGAATCGTCATTTGCCTTATTTTCTTAGGACATGATACTCCATTCATTTTCTGGATATTCAATAAACATGCACTATCTTCTAAGTTCCAACTTACATATCACTTTCCCTTTCAGCACATATGCAGGACAAATCCTATATCTGAACATGCCACGGACTGAGCTTACATTCAGTCCACTGTTCTACAGATGCCCTAGGTACTAACTTAGAAGGAACTAAATAAGAATGAATTTGTCAGTTTCTAGGAAATATTTCAAAAACAAATAAGGCAATCTGAATAACAGTCATTAATCTATCCATGTCCAAAAAGAGACTTATTTTTCTTTCTACCACACCACTCTATTATGGAGTTTACGGTGTAGTCAATTGAGATGTAATCCCTTATTCTGATAAGTAACAAAAGAACGCTTTAGAGAGGTGCTCGCTACTACAATCAAATTGCAGTAACTTAATATATTTCCTTGGTGCTTCTCCGTTTCAAGTCTTAAAATCTTGATTTACTTAATTCATTAAGATTACGGTGCATCAAATAAATATATTAATTTATTTGATAATCATTTATGAACGTCACAAAATACTCAAAACTATCTCTCACCAGTATGTTCATTTAACCATACAAATCAGAAGGAATTCATTCTAGCTTATCACTAGCTTTTTTCCTTTTGAAGGGAAACAACTTTAGTCAAATTTCCTTCCAAACAGGATCTACAAGTTGTAGTGTCTCTACTTCAATGAACCTTAAGGTCCATCCTTGACCAACTTGAAATCCTATCTAGATTAATATGACTTAGACAAAAGTGCACAGATAAGTTTTACTCAATTTTGAAGAACATATTCTCTTATGAGGTAGACTATTATTGTTCTGTTCAGGAGAGACATTAATATACAATAACAAGTCATGCATTCATGTACCACAAGAGATAAAATATTTATCAAGCTCAAAAACTCAAGAGTTATTCGAAAAATAAAACAAATATCCATCTCTTATTTTGCCCAGAAATCGGAATTAAATTCCTTCTAACAAAAAGTACATATATTGCATCCTTTAAATTAATGTCTTATCACTAAAAGAAAATTTTAACAAGTAATACGACAAATTACATAAAGTCATTGTGGAGTTGAGATAAAAATATTAAATAGATCATAATAAGTCAAAACATGAATACTAAAATTCAGTACTGCATTCAATATTTATATACATACATGCATCTCGAATGATAAATTTCGATGGGAAAAGAATCATTCATGCAAAGTATATTATATAATGCAAGAATTATACAATCCAAAAATAAATAGAACCAACTCAGATGGAGAAGTATAAAATTTAGGCACAGCAGGGACCACAAATTTAATTAACAAGGCTTCCAGTTATGGAATTAATTTATAATTTTCGAAATTAATATCAACCATAATTAATTACGAATTATTCCACTAAAAATTCGTAATTGCACTCCTTATTCAATTTCGAAATTCATCCATTAAATCTTATTTAACTCCCCATGTTAAGATTCAGATACTAATCAATTACATTAAATTACTGACGATTTAATTTATTGATTATTTCCTTTAGACTTTCGCTTAACTTATTTCATGTGTCAGATACAAAATCCACCGGCCGGGTTTACACATGAAAACTTATAAGCTTTCATAAAGGTGTATCATCAATCTCTAAACCGAGACATGGATTCCATCAACTAACTATTACTTCGCCAATGTACATTATTATTATCCAATTTACCAGGCATATTGACCCACGAAAGAATCTTGCCTTTTAATAAATCAAAACAATAATAATCTACACAGCTAATAATAATTATATCAAGATTAAGAGTATAAGTACATTTATTGGCTAGAGAGTTTATTTTATTAAGTCAGTATAAAATACTTATCTCTACTTGGTCCGTTCAATACATACAAAATGTACTAGCACAAGAAGTTGAATTAAACAATTCCCATAATCAAGATAAATTATATTTAATCTTGTGTTACAATCATTCCTGATGGTTTTCCAATTCCATCATTAGATTGTGAACTCAAACTTTATACTTATAAGAACCGATGATTTAATCTTCCGTGTATAAGCTAAACTCTATATACTAAATCATCTACTACTATATAAGCAAAGGACACCGACTAATATATGATCTATTAAAACTTTATTAAAATTGAATGAACAATATTATCATAATAAATACTATATCTAAACCAAATCCATGGTTAATAGTATATATCCCAACAATCTCCCACTTAGACTTTTAACCATGACAATTGTCAGAATATACTATATCTAAACGCATGGTTAATAGTATATGCCCAACAAAAAAGAGCTACCAACCGAAGCAATTCGTACCTCATGGTAGATCGTTGAGATTCGTCCATCCTCTGATTGTTAGCAGTCCAAGTTAATCAATTAAGTTGTGAGCACCAATTACTCGTGCTTTGCTTGTCACTTATGGAACGGTAAAAAAACTCCACATGCTACCATGGCATTTCCATGGAAATCGGTGTGCTTCCAGCTATCAATTTGGGTCTCTCACTTTATGTGCCAATAGAAAGGTAGAAAAATTACGAAGCGCCAACAATGGTTACAGAAAGTAAAGATTGTGATAACATTGACGCCAAGATTATAAGAATTTGCTTTCCTGTTGTGCATTAACAGGCAAGGCAGGCCTTCTGATCTATCAGGAATCAGATTCATCAGCTTTTTTCGATTGTAAGGTGTCAGTTATTCTTTTTATTGTCTAGGTTTCTTCGTTCTTTCTCTTCTCTTATTATGCATTTCTTTTGGAAATTTGTACTGCTGGAAGTCTACTAATTGTAATGCTACAAGTACCGATGAGTTGAAATTCTTTCTACCTTAGCAAGTGCCTTGAGGCTTTTTGCAGCTTTATATAATGTTTGCTGTCGGATTAAAGGTGTGAATTATTTGCTTTCCTATCTTAATATCTTAACATACGGAAATGAGGTCCAACATCTTAATGTGGTAAGAGCGGTCAAGTAATGTTCTATAATAAAGAATGATTGAATCGAATGATAAATTTGTTGAAAGATTTAATTTAATTTAATATGGTGAAAAGATAAAATCTTGATTTGCAGATTGCTCATACGACAATTGAGTTGAATCCTCGATAACAATCAAATTTAGCTAAACAAGGATCAAATCAGATTTAGATTAGTGATGAACTACATTGAAAAATAAGTCTCGACTCTGATCTTAATTTGACCGTAAAACTAGTGGGAAGCACACTGCACTTGTTTGCCATATCTCAGGAAAATATATTTTTTTTATTTGAAAAAAAATCCAAAACAAGGTCTGCCAATTACTTTTCTTTCACAAACTATGTTTGACCAAACAAATGCTTTCTGTTGAAATCGAGAACCAAATTTCACCGCAAGAGAATACTGATTCTGGAGATTCACGTGCAAGAGTTTGCATTAGGCTCTTCAAAATGTTGAGTGACACAGAAAATTATTTAAACCAAGTTAGCAAATAGGGAAGCTGTGGAGAACAGCGATGGGATTGTCTAAATAAAACACTATGACATGGATCATAAAGGGAGCCAAATAGAAACATGCTCAATGTTGCTGGTTTTCTTCGTACGATGCTAACATACACTGTCCCGGATGAACCAAGGTGTCATCTTTGAAGCGAAAAAAGACGGTAAAAAGAGGCCGCGGAAGCTACCAAGAATAGCAGAAAAATACACCACCATTAAAGAATCCACCTGAAAGAGAACAATCAAAACCATAATGAACATTGAACAAGGCAACAAGCGAAAGATAAGCAAATATTTGACCACAAAGTACACTATTTCCAGAGGATTAGGTAAGAATGAAAATAACAGTCCGCTTCATTTGAGGAAGTCAGCAAAAGCATCAGTCTTAAACTCAGCGATAAAACCCTACTCCCTCCGCTCCAAAATAAAATCACTTATTTTGGACCGGAGGGAGTACTATCTAATACAAGGTTCACAATAGCCTCAAACTGCTACTACTTCCGGTCCACCTTAACTAATTTTTTGACTGTTTTCACACATAATAAGGAACCCATCTTTTAGCATTAATTACTCCTAGGCTCATTACTCCAAAGGCAACTTTGGAAAAAAGAAGTTGATTCCTTCTTTATATATGAAAAAACCAAATACTGTGGATCACAAAAAAAAGACCAAAAATCAATTAAAGTGGACCAGAGGGAGTAACATAGTTCACAAAAACAAATAATACCTCAATTCAGTAATAAGGGCAAATGACACAACAAGAGCAAAAGATTGGGTCATATTCAGCCGCCGATGAAAGTGTTCGAAAAAGCTTTGATTCTTAAAAGTTGGTAAGACCTTTACTCTTGATCATCAGCACATGTTATGCTAAGATCAATATCTTACTTACTAGCCATTAGGATCTACCGCCGAAAGCTAATATTGAATAATTTTCTTTTTTGATCGGTAGTAATAGTTCTCTTAGTAATTTATAACAAAAAGATCACCAGCAAGTAAGCAAATCTTGATTACCACAGCAAAGAACACGAACAGAGAAGAGAGATGGAGTAAATCCCATAGGAGGCAAGGTCACATAGAAACAGCAGGATGGTTGAAAATACAACTAAGTATATAGCAATTCATCATTGTTGAATGAATGTTATCTCCAATCACTCTGAGGAACTTGCTAGTTTAATAAAGTTCCAAAATGCAATGGAGCTCCGCAAGATGTGACAAAACAGATGCAATCTTTTTTATCACACAACCAAGAAAATTTCTGTAAGTAGGAACTAGTCCATCAAAGAACCTTGAGAGACTGGTGCAATAGCCTTTCAACATGTTATACAAGGTTATGCCATTTAATGTTTAATCATCTTAAACACACTAAATAACAAATCATCAAGACATTTTCCCTAACTGTTTCCTTCATTGAATAAAATCATAACGCAAGGAGTAGGATCCTCAACAATGACCACTCAACATGCTCAACAATCACCACATACTAAACATGAAACATTCTCAATAATCCCCACCGAACCTCTTATCACTGGAACTATGATGAAATCATGAATTTTCTCTCTTTATATAGTCTTAAAGAAAAGCAATCAAGCCTTCAAAACGTGAACGGAATCTCCTTATCTGCTCTCCAATTTAATCTCTGTGCTCCACCACTTTTAACTACAGTGTCCTGATTTTTCAATTCATTACATCTTCTGTCCCATGATATCAGAACTTTTTTCCTTCCAAGAGTCAAAGAAAGTGACCTTTAACTAATTTCTTTAAGTAGAACAAAAGCATTTTTTATAATTATTACTTATGTATGGCAAATTTGCTCAACCATTGTTTCTCTTACAATCTTAGAAAACTAAATTTTATTTTGCTAAAAAGTAAATTATTTTAAGTCCAGATTAAATATAAAAGCAAAACTAATCCTTAAAAAATATAAACCTTACAAAAATGATAGATCAAGTGAATTAATTTGATATTTCTACTGCGAGTTTGTCTCCCTTTGGTCACAGAGAGGTCTGGTGACTTTGAAATTTTTGAGATAAGTTGATCGACCCATAACAAACTCAACGAAATTAAAAACAATAATGAAAACAATCAAAATATGAAACATAGGATTTTACCAAAAGATAAATACATAAGCAAACTACTAGCATTTTCATCAAATGATTACCTACTCAACGATTGAGTCCGAGAAGCATATTCTGTTGCTTAGGCAAGTAAACAACATTAGGAGTCTTAGCCAAAGTCCCAGCAATTTCTCTCGAAGCTTCTATCCTTCTCAGCTCAATCAAACCCATTCCAGCAGCCGCAGTAGCATCCGAAATCAGCTTAGCTGATTCACTCTCTCCTTCAGCCCTAATAATCGCCGCCCTCCTCTCTTGCTCAGCCTTCATCACCACGAATTTCGACCTCTCAGCCTCCTGCTGAGCCACCTGCTTCTGCTCCACAGCTTTCGAAAACTCAGCTCCATACGACAAGTGCGTGATCGCCACATCATCGAGCTCGATGTTGAAATCCTTGGCGCGTCGGATCAGGCTCTCACGAACGAGAGCGGAGACCTGTGGACGCTCCGTGAGGAGCTGATCAGCGTTGAATTGAGCCACGACGGCTTTGAGTACCTCGTTGCCGATCGAAGGGAGGACCTTTTCGTCATATTCGGTACCTAAGGTTTTGAAAATGTCGGGGAGGCGGGAGACTTGAGGGCGAGAGAGGATACGGAGAGTGAGGTTAACCATCTGGAGATCTTTCGTTCCGGAGATTGAGGAGAAAGTGTGGGGCCTAGTACGGATATCGAAGATGAAGGGCTTTTGTAGCCATGGGATTAAAAAGTGGGTCCCTTCACCGACAGTTTCGTCGATGACTCCACGGAAGCGGTCGAAGAGAACGGCGCGTTGGCCGCCGTCGACGGTGTAAAGGGAGGAATTGAGAACTGCGCCCCCGAGGCCGAGGCTGAAAGCGGCTCGGGCAAGGTTTGTGAGGAATGAAACTGCAGCTTGGCTACTACCCATTGTTGTGTGTAGAAAACAGAGAGAGAGTGAGATTTTGATAAGGGTTTAAGAGAAAAGAAGAACAAGAAGATTGAGGGGTTATAGAGAAGGGTCTGGATTGTTCTGCAAGTAAAAACCTAAACACCTCAATTGAGCAGGCGGGTTTGGATTTGCAGAATTATTAAAGCCCATTACACTTTGTATCTTTTCGTATAACTAGTTTTTAGAGAAGAATTGTTAAGAATTTTTTGGATTGGAAACTGGCTAAATGAATGGGTTAAGATAGTATGGGTCTTTTTAATATTTTCAAAACTTGCGGGTCACCTATTAAAGTTTGAAAAACTTTATTTCACCTAAATTTTCCATCGGTTTCTCTTTCTACTCTCTACTCTCTTTTCTCTCTCTCTCTCTGAACCTCCGAACACGGTAGTTTCTGGCGGCATCCGACATTAATCAAGCTTCGATTTTGGGTGGAATCATCTCTATAGACCCAACAAGCGCTGTATAGTTCCTCAAAACTTGTCAATTTTGGTAAATCTTAAATTCCTTTTTTTTTTTCGTTTCTTACATTTGTGATATGGGATTTTGTAAAGGGATTCGTTCATGTGCATGTTCAAGTTCGATTGGGTTGTGTATAACCATATCTTATATGGCGTGGGTGGTTATATTTGCTTCTTGGACTACCTCTGGTCTCTGTATTTTAGATTTTGGGACTGGCGACCTAATATTGATAAACCACTGGCCGATTGCCGTCTAGTCATAGATGTGTGTTGGAATTGGGGCTTATTTTTCTTATTCCGATCATAAGTTTCAAATTGTTAAATGCGACATTGCATATTTGGATGTAGGTAACATGAGGAAGAAATCAATTGCTAAGAAACATACTCATTCAGCAACGATAGCAATTGCACAGCCTTCAAAGCCTCCAAGAGAAAACAAAATGCAAAAACACAAGAAGCTTCGCCTAGTAAAGCAAATGCTGAGCCTTCAAAAACTTTTACCAGGAAACGAAATGTAGATACTTCTGAAGCTTCCCCAAGTAAAGGAAATGCCGAGATTTCTACGCGTGATAGGAGGAAAAAGAACATAGAGCCATCAAAGTATACCAGTAAAAAAAGAACAAAATCAATGTCTAGATTAGTTGACGAGTACATGCCTGTTAGTATAGAATCTGTTTCAAGGAGTTTAGCATTAGAGGGTGTTGATGAGGAGGAGGAAGAAGACTTGGACATAAATTCAGCACAAACTTAAATGGAAGAACAATTTCCGAAAAAGCAATTGTCGAAGAAGAAAACGATAGTGATGATGAAGCTTTAGGTTGAGAGGATGATGAAAATGGTGATGTTGCTCACGAGGTTGCTGAAAATGCTGAAGAAGAATGTTTACCTTGAAAATGGTAATAACAATTAGATTTGATTTTGTGGTTCTAAAAATATGTGATCTATTTTTATGCTAGTTATTAAGCAGTGGATACTGAGCGACGATATTAGAAAACAATATAAGAGATTGAAGATGGCTTTAGAAACCAAACCAAATGGTTGAGAATCGGGGCCTCGAGCTAGCACGTGCGGGGCTTCGATGCCGAGTTAGACGCCCGACCAAGGGCTCTCGATGGGGATTAACAACTATCAGGGTTTTGATTGCGGCTCTTTATGGCTAATAACGAGCAATAAGCGAAGAACGATTAATGATACACAATAAATGTAAGCAACAGAGTCAAATAGGGAGTATGTTTAAGTTAGAGAGTAGAAAGAATGTTCTTGTATTGAAATGAAGTATCTTGTGTATTAGATCCCCTTACAAAATGACAAGGATCCCCTTTATATAAGGAGGGAAATCCCATCATAATACATGAGTAATTATTACAAAGAAACATAGCTGGAACAGCTACCCACTAGTCTGATACAGACTAGTGTTTCCCTTGCAGGCTTTGTCAGTCTTGACCATGTGCCTTGGGAGCTTCCCGCTGGTGTGTTGCAGTCGTTGGTTTGTATTGCCTTGAGGCCGATCATCACGAACCCTCGGGGGCGAACTCTGGGCTAGACTTCGAGCCTCCCGGGAGTGGTTATTTTTAGGCGCCCTAGTGGTCACAAAATCGAGCCCTCTGATTTTTACCGTATACAGATAGTCCCCGCGTTTCTTAGAATAAAATGATAAGAAACGATCTTCACACCGATCCCCTCGAGCCTCTTGCGATGGTGTCATGCTCATGGCGTCTGCTTTCCCGATAACTGAGACGTCCTATGGGTACGTCTTTCCGAGAAACACTTGATGTAGCGCCAGTTTATCTTCTCAAGGCGGTAATATCGCCGCTGATCCGTTTCCCAATAGGCATTGATTGCGTCGTCGTACGTTTCCCAGAGGCATTGATTGCGCTGTTGGTTATGCCCCCTCCTTTCTATAAATGGAAGCCCTCTTGAACCTAGACTTCATTCAATCGTTCTCCAACAGCCTTTTATTCCTCTCTTCTCTTCGCCTTCATCCAGATACATTCCCCATGTTTAAAGCCTGTGATCACAGGGTCACATGGCAGAGTTCCCATCAGTTATGCCATGGCTCTTTCCCAGAGCCTTCCCCTACTGAGCGGGATCGCACTGGTTTGTTGTTGTTATTGTTGTTGTTGTTGTTGTTACTGCTGTCGTCGTTGGCTCGAGACGACGAGATAAGGGCGCCGATTTCTTCCTACCCAGGAAGGTATTCGAGTTTTACACCGCTGCTCAGGAGGACGTTCGAACTTTACACCGCTGCTCACCTCCCTACTTCAGCCTGGGGTGACGCCTCATCCCTTTTGATTTCCGTGGGGTGATGCGGCACTACCGGATACTAGCTTGCACGGCACAATGTCCCAAGAAGTGGACTAAAAGTAGCCGTGCAGGTAGGGCCTAGGCTCGCCAAATCTTCTATCAGGGCCGTATTTTCCTTGGTCTGGTAGAAGCTTTTGCTCTTTGGCGAGCTACTCCCTTTTCTTCATCTTTTTCTGCTTCTTCCTCGTCCTTCAAGACGCCGTCGGTGAGGGGGCTGAGATCAGGCTTCCGGATATATGACTCCCGAAGACATTGCTCCCGAGGATGTACTCCCGAGAGTAGTTTAGACTTTTAGCTGTTACTTTTGCTTCTTTGTTTCTGTGTAAGGATTCTTCGTGGGCTTTTGTAATCATGTGTAAGGTCCCTTCACGGGCTTTTTGTAACCAACGTTCATTAATGAAAAGACGTTTCTTCAATTTGTCTCTGATTTATGTTGGTTTTTCCTTTACTTGCATTTGTGAAGAATCTGGATGCACGACTCTACCGGTTGATCCGAACATCGGGCCCAGGGTGTAGGTATTCCCTCGGCTCCTGATTGATTATTACGATATCCTGTGGGGCCCTTTGTCATCCCTTGGACTGAACCCGGGTTGGATAGGCACAGGCCACTGGGATCCCGAGTGAAAATAGGGCTTCGAATTTATAGAACGAACCTAGCCTTTCAGACCCTATCAATCAGTCTTCGAGGGGAAACTTGCTCGGATGCCCGAGAATAAAGACAACCTTTAGGCTTTTGAAAGCAGTCTTCGAGTGAGAGTTCGCTCAAGCTTGGGCGGTCTGGAAACTTGTTTTGAACTTAGAACGAAGGCAACTGTAAGGCATTGCAGATAGATCACGGATGGGGGTTCGCCTGGGTTCAGATAACCCCTGGATTAAAGTAATCAAGAGAACGTTTAACTGGACCTGAAGGCGAGAAATAGCCCTAAGGTTTTATCAGTAGTTATTGAGCAAAATTTGGCTCAAGCCAGGTATCTCGGGGGCCGGACGATTGGGTAAATGACCCGCACTTGCAATAGCAGAAATTCTAGAGGTAGGGTACCACCTCGAGGTCAAGCCCACATGAGTAGGTTTTTTAGAACTTATCTTCCTTTTGATGGAGGTCCTCGAGATCGGGTACCATCTCGAGGCTTGTTATGATATCAATGGCTCCTTAGAGCCTATCTTTCTTCTGATAGAAGATCTCGAGATCGGGTACCATCTCGAGACTCGTAACGATATCAGTGGCTCCTTAGAGCCTATCTTCCTTTTGATAGAAGACCTCGAGATCGGGTACCATTTCGAGGCTCGTAACGATATCGATGGTTCCTTAGAGCCTATCCTCCTTTTGATAGAAGACCTCGAGATCGGGTACCATCTCGAGGCTCATAACGATACCAATGGTTCCTTAAGTCATATCCTCCTTTTGATGGAAGACCTCGAGATCGGGTACCATCTCGAGGCTCATAACGATATCAGTGGTTCCTTAGAGCCTATCCTCCTTTTGGTAGAAGACCTCAAGATCGGGTACCATCTCCGGGAACGTAATAATATCAACGGCTCCTTAGAGCCTATCTTCCTTCTGATAGAGGCCCTCGAGATCGGGTACCATCTCGAGGCTTGTTGATGCAAGGGTTTTTGATCCGCGAAATGCTGTTCGGCCACATAAATTGCATGACATGTTTATAAGATGATCGAGGCCATCGCGCTGGTACGTCTCCCCAAAGTGATAGTGGCTTAGCTATACTTTTAACTGGCCTTTGAGGTGGGCGGATAGTCACCACTTGTTTCAATATATATATAGGTTTGTCTTTTTTTAAAAAAGGATTCCGCTATCCTGAGTATAGAGTTCTCCTCTCTGTGTTAGGTTCTCCACTATTTTAACTTGGGAATCCTTGCTCAGATTTTCCGCTCCAATTTTCTGACTTTGCCACATTTATGGTTGCTGCGCCAGGATTCGTCCGGCAAGGAGAAGGGAGTTCCGCCTCTGACCCCTGTTTGGTTGGTGGTGCGCCGCCGGAGTCAGGCGAGCCGCCTTTAGGACATTTCGTTTTGAGGGGGAATTTTCCTACAGAAAAACCTCCTAATGCCCAGGGGCGTTGGGAGCATGCTTCGAAGCTTACCTCTCTGATAGAAGAGGAGCATCTTGAGTTAGTGAGAAAAGATTGCGGATGGGGGGAGAAAGTACTACTGCAAGTACCTTCCCCGGAAGAGAGCATTATGGACCGTACCGAGGGGTTTCTGAACGTATACACGTACCCTTTCACGTTGGGCCCCCTCGATTGGTGCTTGATTTCTGTCGGAAGTATCGGGCTAACTTGGCTCAGATTCACCCGTCGTTTTGGCATGTAGTACTGATGATGCGATTCTTTACGGAGGGGGCAGGGCTCGATTTTACGCTTAGTCATCTCATCAGGTTGTACCGGCCTTTTCACCATCGAGGCCTGCTAACCCTACGATGC